TAATCTTAAAAAAAAAAAAAAAAAAGATTGTTCTTCTTTGTTTGTAGCTCTGAGCATTAAAATAGCTCCCAAATCCAAAATAAAAGTGGGATGTCATTATAACAGGCTCTGTGCTTTACACTAAGGCTGTGCAAAGCTTCAGTCCCTGATTTGATTTGGCGGAGATTCGGTGGCCAAATCTCCAAATTGAATTGGAACCCTCTGAATCACCTTTCAGCAAAAGAGATCAAAGAGATTCGGAAAAATTCAGCAAGTCAGATATAGATACAGTTTTAAATGTTTTTTCTACACGCCTCAAGGTACCAGGCAGCTCGTGAATGGTGAGTTGCTGAGGCAGATGGAACATCCCACAGGAGCGCGGGGAGCTCCCCAGCATGCTTGGCAGCAGATCTGGAAGTGGACCTAAGGCACTTTCGGTCCACTTCCGGGTCCGCGGCTCAGCAACTGATGCTTCCTAGGTCTGGGGGGGCACCTGAGGTCCCCCCACTGCCGATCGCCATGGGGCAGGAGGTTATGCACCCTGCCCCAGCACCGCAGCGTTCACGAGCTGTGCTTGGTACCTTGAGGTACATAGAAAAAACATTTAAAGCTGCATCTATGGCCAAATCGCTGATTCTCTGAATCAACATTGAATCTTCAGATTCGGATTCCGCTGAATCAAATCGGGGACAATCATCTGAATCAACAAATCAAATCACTGTCCCCGATTCAGGCTGAATCCAAATCTGAATCGAATATGGCCCATTTTGCACACCACTACTGTACGCCTATAAAATAATCCCTCTATTGAAGAGTTTACTATCTACATACACAAACCAGATGAAATTTAGGAGAGGACAGCAAGATCACAAAAGTGAAGTGACTTTAAGGTCACACAGTAGATAAGTGCTCAAATTGGGACTCCCCAGGTCTCCCAAACCAGTGTCCTATCTGGTAGTAGTAGGTATGTTTCTGTCTTGCAAGACAATAGAATTATACCAAGTGAGACATAAGATCACTGGACGTAATCCTCACTTGAAAGATGAAGCGAAGCTGCTAGGATGAGATTAAATACGTTTTACATCAAATGTGTGAAAATCTTGATTAATATATTTGTTTTGATCCTAGATAGTTTTGGCATTGTACCCCCAGAAATGGAGCCTATCAGACATCTAGCTTTCTCTGCCTGTGATTACATTATATGGCAGAACTCAACTGAAAACACGTGGTACAACCTAGCTCAAATTCAAGATGTTCAACAGGTAGTAAGTACCGCGCCAATCAGTGCTTTGCAATTAAACTCAGAGGAGCTGCTATCTAAGGATACTCCAAGATATTATAGATTGTAGAAGAATCAGTACACCCAGATGTATATACTGCTACAGAATCTATGAGTCCTACTGAGACTAGGATAATCCCTTATTTATTTTAATGGGTCCTCTTTCCCCATCCTCAGCAAAAGCTCATAGACAATTTTCTATTCCAGTTAAGGGGCAGTTGCAGTCTGAAAGTGGCACATATTGACTGATCCATTTCTCATCCTTTCTCCTTCCCTACCCTGGCACCACAATTACTTTTGAAAGCTTGGGGCTTCATAGACTTGATCTGGGTGGTGAGGCGCTTTTATTAGTGAGCTGTGCTAATCAGTCCCTGCTGAAAAAATGGTGGTGGGGTACTTTGAACTCATTCGACAAGCGTTAGTTCAAAACGGAAAACAGTAAAACTGATACAGTATGGTTCTTTTCTGCGTTAATTTCTACACTCCAGCAGATTTGACTAATTACGTCTGCTCTGACACACTGGATTTACACCATGTCAGAGCAGCCTCCCTGCACATGTGTTAGCGCCTTTAGTTATAGATTCATAGCTGCTAGGGTCAGAAGGGACCTCAATGGATCATTGAGTCCGATCCCCCATCTGCTGATAAGGTATGATAAGGTGCGGTTAGCCTTGCTGATGATTTCATCACACTGATGACTCATGTTCATCTTGGAGCCCACTATGACTCCAAGATCCCTCTCCGTGCTTCTGAGGGGGTCATTCCTCAGCCAGTAGGTGTACTTGTTGTACTGCATCTGATTGTGTTCTGCCCACTTATCCAACCTGTCCAGGTCTGCCTAAAGTCATTCCCTACCCTCCGGAGTGTGCACTTCCCCCCACAATTTAGTATCATCCGCAAACTTGGACAGAGTACACTTCACGCCCATATCCAAGTCACTGATGAAGACATTAAGACACTGAAGAGTACAGGTCCAAGGACTGAGTCCTGCAGGACCCCACTACCCACATCTTTCTAGGTCGATACCGACCCATCTACTACCACTCTCTGAGTTCGACCCCCAAGCCAATTTGCCACCCACAGGACCATGTAAGCATTCAAGTCATAGCCTCTTAATTTACGAGAATGGGATGAGATATGGTATCAAAGGCCTTCCTAAGATCTAAGAAAACGATATCCTCCTCTACTCCTGTGTCTTAGCGTTTTGTGATAAAACGAAACTAGATTAGTCAGACATGATCTGCCCACTACGAATCCATCCTGGTTGCCCTGCTGCATTATTTCTCCCACTGGACTCATGCTAGTATGATCTTTAATAATCTTTTCAAAGACTTTTCCAAGGACAGAGGTGAGACTGACTGGCCTATAATTACTCGGATCCTCCTTCCTCCCTTTCTTGAAAATAGAAACCACATTGGCCCTTCTCCAGTCCTCTGGGACCTGACCCGAGTGCCACAAGCACTCAAACAGCCATGCCAGTGGTTCTGCTATGACACTGGCCAGTTCCTTCGGTACCTTTTAGTATTATGTATTAATACTAACAGAAAATTTGGAGGGCAGTGAAATGCGTCTCAGTACTCATCACCATATCAGTTCAAGGCATTTCAGAAATGCAACATTCAGTGGTCCTATGTCACATTTATATGTAACTGCGTGATTTTAGGTCTTATGTTACATAATGGAATCACACAATGGATGCAATTAGAAGTAGCTGGCAAAGGGCATATGAATTATAGGCCAAACCTGCCCATGTCTCAGCTTCTTATCTAATATGCCAAGGGAACTGCTGCCTCCCAAAAGTTTAAAAGGTTTTGAGGTGCATACCTATCTATATCTAGGATTCCTACAGCCCTTGTGAAAAGCCTAGCCTTAGGATTTAATCAATGGTCATTTGCATTTTGAATCTTTCTATGGATTGCTTATTTTATTGCACATTTAATCAATTCTTTCTGGTTTATTAAAAGAAGATATTTCTTCTTACTGAACTGTTTACTTAGATAATTCCTTCCCTTTATTAATTTAATTTTGCTTGATTTTTTTTTTAATGCAGTGCCTGCATATTCTTGGAGACAATAGCATATCACATGATTAGTCATATGCTGTGATGTTTCATCTCTGATCTGATCACTTTATTTGATTAGGGTTTTATCTGATTACTTTACTTCCCTAGCTTTGCATGTTCTTTCTTCTGCACACTATGTTACTTATTATTACTCTGCTTTATCTTTCAACCTACACCACCCTCAAGCCTCTAATTATCACTTGCTGATCTCTCTCTACTATGTGAGCTGAAGGAACAGCAGTCGGCTGCATCTCAACTCCACTATGAGAAAATCTATGTTTTTAGGATGCTGATCTTTCACTATTTGTTAATTTATTTAAAGGATCCTCAAGCAAGGAACCAAGTCTCAATTTAATCTTTAACAAATCCAAACATCGTTAGTTTTTACTTTGGCTTTGCCTAATTTACTTTTATTCTTGAATTCCATTTTGTAAATATTGTAAAGGGACATGAATATTCTTGCTTTGGGAAAATTGTATAGTGGAGAAAATGCCCTCTGGATTTTTCTCTTTTAAGACTGTAAGACTGAAAGAGAGCTCTTATTAATGATTCAATTAAAGGAACAATTGTCCAACACAATAAGGCTCAATACTGAAATGTAAAACAACAACATTGACATTGAGAATATTCACAACTAACACCATTTAGGACTTAGGCTGTCAAGATTGGTCCTCAACTGTTTAAAACAATCTTTCAGAGTACAATTACTGGAGTAGTTAATGCTCCCAGTGAATTCAAATGAAGCTTTGAGTGTGAAAAACCGCAGCTTCAACCTGGGAACAGGATTTGTTAATTTTTGCTCCTGTCAGTGGCTGCCTTAGAGCAGGAGAGGAAGACAAATTTTGTGAGGTCAGGCATTCTCACTTTGCCCTTTAGTCTTTGCATTCTACCTTCATAAGCTATTAGGATGGTGATACTTCTCAGTTTCTTGCAAATCTTTCCCCATTTACAATTTAGTTAATTTCTTCTCTTTGTTGACATACTGTACAAATTAAGATTTGTTCTTCTAACTCACTTGCATATATTTGAAAGTCCCACAGTTATCTACAGTTGTCAGAAGCAAATGCATATCTGCAGAGAAGCAACCAAGAGAAAAAGGGACCCTACTGGCTCTTCTTTCTACAGAAAAAAAGGGGGAAGGAGGAGACCCTTGCTGAATGTGTAGAACTGTAGAGGGAAGCCAACACCTTTTCCCACTCTCTAGGGCCCCCCAGAAACCCATCTGGCAATGCTATGGGGGTCAGAAGCTACCCCCCACCTTCCTTAAATATGCAATCTGTTAGTATCCTGCATATTGAATCTCACAGTGCTGGATGCCCAGGATATTTATGTGCAATTCAGTCTCTCTGTAAATTATCCCTTTCATCTTAGGTCTGGATTTGACCTAAGCACACATTATGTAAAGCAGGGGTGGCCAACCTGTGGTACGTGGGCCACAAGTGGCACTGGCAGCCTCTGTGTGTAGCTCATGGCAGACCACAAAAGGGAAAGGCAGCACAGTAGCTGAAACAGCAAGGAGCAAAAAACAAAGCTACAGCTGAGGCAGGGAGCACAGGGAAGGAAGTGGAAAGCAAAGCAACAGATTAGGGCGGGAGCAGAAAGCATTATGTTTGAACTGACAGCAAACATGAGATGTATAATAGGAGGATTTAGTACTAACAGGACTGAAACAAACTGGCTCCCTGGCAAAGAGTAAAGGCTAACTATAGTTCCTTCCCTACCCCACTAATTGTGAAGATAACTGCCTATGGTTGGCAACTCATCCAACTGTACTGGTAGTAGTGTCACTAATGAGGTATCTATCTGTACAGCAATATTTGCTTGCTCTAAAATACAGACTAGTTTCTGCTGCATACCATTGCCTGTGTAACTAGGTTTTCCTAAATGATAAACTGGTCAAAAGTGCCAAATAGGACAAACTCTAAATTATTTTGAGCCAAAGCAAAGAGTCCCCATAGAGACATAAGTAAATAGTATAAGAGAGTCTGCAATAACAAACAAGTAGTTTGGAAAATAAAAGCCTCAGTATTTCCCCTGAAAAGGAACAAACTTAATTAAATCAAGCTTAACTTTTTAAATAGAGCTGTCTGAGCAACCCATGTGGCTTCAAACTGTGTTTTCCCTTACAGATGCTTCACATGAAGTGCAGCACAGAACAAACCTAAGTTTCATCTGTTTACCCACTAATATCAGCTACCAGCAGTTTGGTCTGCAACATTTCACAGATTTTTTTTAAAACTATGGCCAGCTGCAACTGCATGATAGGTTTTAATGAGAAGATGGGGGGTGGAGGGAAGTGAAATAAAAAAGCCTTTGAATCTTAGTCCTTATTGCCTTATCTTTTATGTTCTTTCCAGAAAAGAAATGATGATTATCTTGAATTTGACTACACAGTCCTGCTTCATGACTTTGTGTCCCAGGTAAAACTTGTTTCATTGCAAAGCAAAAGGGGTATTTTTATAAATTTGTGAATTGCCTTTCTGGTACCAGTGGTAGCAGCATCTCAAGTTCCTCAAATGACACCATCATAAACCATCCTTCACTGGACAACTGAGTCTCCTGTAAACATTTTATTACTGGGAAACATGCATTTGATGGAAAGAGAGAAGGGAGTTTTAGACCTGCAGCTCTAGATACCACAATCTGCTGTCAGAAATAATTTATCAATAGTGAGGAAGGATTCCTCTCCCATTCCAAGTGCTGGCACTATATCCTCCTGCACTTTCAGTAAGGTTTATGCGTCTATGGTATCATTCATTTTAGTGGGAAGCAACCTCAATTAACTCCAGAACTACACACAGGCTTATTTCCCTACCAGTATGCTTGTTTGGGATTCTAAGGGCATGTTTACAGTGCAATCCGAGGTCTAACAACAGCTAAGATATTTTCAGCTGGCCTTAAACTAGCTAACTTGCAAACCAGTAACAGTGTAGTTATGTCAACAGGAGCTCAGCGGACTCCAGAATTCTCTGCAGACCTTGGTAAATGCAGGACAACTAGCCCATCTTGACCTGTGTTCTCAGTATCTAATCTACTTAGCTTAAAGTCAGTTCAGTATATCTACATAAGCTACAGTTAGACCTGTGACTGCACTGCAGACATGCCCATAAATAGAAGCACATATTCTAGGTCAATATTGTCCTAAGGAAGTAATCTTTCCCTTTCTTCAACACCTCATGTACTTTTTATCCACAGGAAATTATTCCTTGGCAAATGCAAGTTCTCTGGCATCCACAGCACGGTGTTAAAGTAACACAAAACAGCCGTCAGCCAAAATAGAGGAGGACTAGTCATCCAGTACTTCAATAAGAGATGCTTTGGTGACAGAAGGGTTATATAAGCAAACAGGTATATAGGATTCAAAGTAAAAATATATTCAGGCAGTTAAACTTCCTTGCTTTTTTTCTGTTTTATCTTGACCAAACAAGTCAAGAGAAGTGTTAATATTTCTCTACAGTGTAAATCTATAACAAAAACAACACATTTAGTGCAAGGCTAATTTGGTATATTATGCTAATACTTACGGTACAGGTGCTGCAATGCTCTCTCTAAAGGCAACTTTTGGTTTTCCCATAGTACAAGGACAATCATATTCTCTTTCCATTCGCTGCAGAAACAGTAAAAAAATAACTGGAACCATTTCTTTGTATAGGCAATATCTTTATTACTGAGAAGTTAAATATTAAATTTGATCATGGTTATTAAAATAGTTTGAAAGAGTGTCATAAGTGTCAAGTGTTATATTTAACAATCAATCAATCAGAATACGCTTAAGTTGTTGCCCTCCCTTCACTCCCAAACAAATCTTCCTTTCAGTTAGTTTTACAATCCATTTTCCTTTACCCTTCTTGATTTTCCCCCCCAGTACTGTGGGAAACCCAGAAAGGAGGCAGTATGGATAGAGGGAACATATTTATTATGATCTACTGGAGGTTTCCCCTCCCCACCACAAGTTTTTTTTTTTAAAGATAGAAATTTAAGTAGATTGGAAAGAAAGAAGAAAGAAAGTAGTTGAAAGAAAAGAATCCTAGAAACATTAAAAAACATACAGATCTCTAGATGTAATTGTTCTTTAGTAACCATCATTAGCAGCCAAAATTATTTATACAGATACTTTTAGCAACTTATAGTGTACAGATTTCTACACACTTAAAACCAGTGGCCCCATGCCTGCACCAGATCTGCAAAGTGTGGAATTCTGTGTCTCTGAAAATCCCTCTTAGCTCCATATGACCCCCAGGCATCCAGTTGCCAAAATGGGCCCCATATATTGGAATCATTTAACCCTTTTACATGATGAAGTCAGCTGTCTTTAAAAGCGTATAGCAAATAGCAACACAACCAGTATCCTAAAGGCAAAGTTAGGAGGAAAACTTTCCCCAACCCAAAGTCCAGCTCTCAGATTCAGCTTTAATAATCACCTGAGCATAGATTTCCAGATGTAGTTCTCCCATTCCAGAAACAATGGTTTCCTTGTTCTCATCATCAAAGTAGACTCTGAAGGTGGGATCTTCTCTTGTAAACCGGTTCAGTCCTTTTGAAAATTTATCCAAGTCATTCTAAAATAATCCAAACACATGTAAAAAATATCAGTTTTTGTTGCCTAATATTCAACAGGCAGCAAGTAACAAGATAGGTAGAATGGTTTCCTTGCAACAAAGTCCAGAGTTGCTTCCCCAAACAGATTACCGTGTTTACTTGAATCTAAGATGACCCCCCCCAATAATTAGATTCTATACATGGAAAATTTTAAATCTGTTATAATTTTCCATATATAGTTGGTTTAGACGTATTAGAGGGACATCTTTAATTTGTTTCCCACCCCCCACATTTCTGCAGGGGGGCAGACAGTGGGGAAGGGCAGGTGGGGAGGTCAAGCACCTTGCTTTCTGCTTGTTTGCCCCTTGCCACCTCTGTCCCCTACCTGGCCCCCCTTGGCCGCTCCCCACCAAGCCTCTCTGCTCCCACCCCCACTCCTTCCTTACCTGTGCTCCATTCTGGCAGACTCTGACCTCATTCTGGCCTGGGGCACTGAGCACGGAGCCCAGACCAGCCCCAGAAGCGTCCACACCAGCCCCTGTAGCAGCCATGTGGGTTGCATGCCACTGCTACAGGCTGGGCTGGGGCCATGCTCAATAAGCGAGGCTGCAGCACAGATAAAGCTTGCTGGTACAACCAAGGGGAGGGGGGGCAAAGGCTGGATGGGAGGAAGGGGGAATCGTAGGGTGCAGAATTAGTGGGGGTGGGGGACAGGCAGCAGCGGCAGCTATGGTCCTAACCCACCTTGGGGCTGGAGTTTGAGTCACAGCAGCTGCCTGCCTCCCATCCCCATCTCATGCAATTCTAAGACAAGGGGCTTCCCCCCAAAGTTAAACAGGAAGAGCCCTTATCTTAGACTACCATATTTACTCAGTTCTATTTATAATAGGACTTACTCCCCAAAAGATAAGGTGAACAGTCTGAACAATACAATAAAAAATGCCTTTCGTACCAGGAAAATGTCATAACTGAGATCAAGAAAGAAGACTGGAGTCAGCTGTTTTTTAACTCAGAGAACTGTTATCATGATTTAGCTGCTTAAAGCTATGCCAACAGGGACAGTTCTTAATTTACAGAAACCCCTACGGTTAGTCACTGCAAGCTAACACTTTTATACATATGCGTAAGCAAACATGTAAATTAACACACTTTAACACTGTATTCATTTTTCCAGATTAGACAAATACAAAGTGTTTCCCTCAAGTAAACGGCTAAAAGGAAGGGAAGGTAACTTGGACAAGAAAGTTTTCTATATGCTTGTTCATACTTATCCTACCTTGTCAGAAGGCTTCATGGCTACAGAAATGACAGAATCAGGGATATGAATTGATTCCTGTAATGATTATAAAGAGTTATCAAATAACAAACCTGCAGTAGAACTGAAGTTTTGGGTTCAGAAACTACGGATTCCCACAGCATAGTTTTCATGGTGTGGCTTAGTTCAGCCTTATATCAAGTATAGTAAGACTACAAAATTATGTAATTCATCTCGAGATTATACCAGGACCTTGACCTAATACACAAGGTAATTGCAGAATATACAGTTCTAGTACTGTTGCTTGGGTCTGCATTCAAGTTCCTAACACTGTTATATGTATAGATACAAAGTAGTTTTTCTACCCAAATGCTATTTGGAGTGTGGGCATACATACACTCTCTGTATTAACCTTTTATGCTTAAAGAAATAATAATCATGTCCCTTAGAGCTGAAAATATTTGGTGTTAAGTGTGTTACTCTGTGTAATATACTGTTTATCTATCTACATGCACCCCAATTTTTTTTATTTGTTATAGTATAAAGTGACCTGGGTTCTGTGGCCCCAGGTCTTGTGTGGCAAGCTGGGGACCATCAAGCTGCAAGTTCAAGCCTGCGTGTGAGGCCCCGAACTTCCCAGCTAGAAATGGCAGCCCATGTAGGCTTGAGAAAAGTTTTAGGCCTGTTCAGTGGCTAAGGGGCCTCAGTGTTAAGCAGCCAGCTGAAAGGCTGAGTTGAAAGTCTGGATGTGGGCACCTGATCTTCAGTCTGAATGAGTGGCCCTTGCTGAGTTGAGCATTTTTCAGGTTCTGTGGCCAAGGGACTTGTGTAGTGTGCTAGGGACCAGAAGATTACAAATTCAGGCCCTGTCATGTGGGCCTGAGCTTCCCAGCTGGAAATGGCTTTGACAATTTTTTTCTAGTTTTGGGGCCCCTACTACAGAAAGGATATGGACAAATTGGAGAGAAACCAGCGGAGGGCAACAAAAATGGTGAGGGGGCTGGGGGACATAACTTATGAAAAAAGATTGAGGGAATTGGGCTTATTTAGTATGGAGAAGAGAAGACAGAGAGGATTTGATAGCAGCTTTCAACTACCTAAAGGAAGGTTCCAAAGAGGATGCAGTCAAACTGTTCTCTGTGATGGCAGATGACAGAACAAGGGGCAATAGTCTCAAGTTGCAGCAAGGGAAGTTTAGGTTAGATATTGGGAAAAACTCTCTCACTAGGAGGGTAGTAAAGCAGTGGGACACAACTCAGAGAGGTTGTGGAGTCTCCATACTTGGAGATTTTAAAGACCCAGCTAGACAAAGCACTGGCTGAGATAATCTAATTGCAGATGGTCCTGCTTTGAGCAGAAGGTGGGACTAGATTATCTCTAAATGTCCCTTCCAACTCTAATTTCCCATGATTTTATAATTCTAAACCAATATCACATTTCCTCAAGTAATTTCTAACTGTATGTCACTTACCTAAATAAACTGAGCTTTTAAACTAAAAAAAAGGATTAAGAATAAAATCCTGACAAACCTAGAGTGTGCAATGAATCGGGTGTTTGAAAAATTTATACTTACCATGGAAATTTGATTATTAGATTTATCACAGAATGTATCTCCACTTGCACAATCAATTCCAAACAATGCACATATGTCTCCTGCATAAACTTCATTTACATCCTAAAGAAAAAACAGCAAGTTTAGCTTTTTGCATGGTACTGAAAGGAAACAACATACTGTATTTAATGTGCACAGACAACTACATCCAGTTTCAAACAGAAAGAACTATGATAAAACCTGAGCTTAAGGAAGTTGAATGCCCAGCTCTTTTCAACTCCTTAGAAGATTCCAGCTTTGATTGAAATGTGTTGTACATAGGCAAATATGATTTTTTTTCACTAAGATTTCAATGTAGAAGCATGAAAGGGGGTTTCAACTGCAATAATAGCTTGCCAAAGAGAAATAGTGCCAGTATCACTTTCTAACTTTCATGCAGTCTTGACCCAGTCATGGAGTTAAAATGACAAGAATTCCAGAAGGAAATCCAGTTGGCTCCTACAGTGACATCTTTTCTAGCAGGGACAATATTTGTAGCATTTTGGGAGACATTTTATAGTTTTAATAACTCTAAAACCTCATTCAAGATGCTTATTGTCAGAAGAAGGAAGACAGCCTTCGTAAAGCAGATGCAAGTAAGGACTCTGTAGGGAAAAAGTCACACCTGGCTTCCTTTAGCCCAAAGCCAACAAACCCTGTTACAGGATTTGGCACCAAATGTGTGTGGAGAATCTTCCTGGTTCAATGGAAAAAATAATATAAAAAGAACACTTCAGTATCCAGTTATACCCATGAAGTCCACAATACAGTAACAGGGCCAAGTGAGAGCAGATAATCTCTACCATCTCCAACTAATGTGATAGGAAAGTAGCACCTCACTTTTCAAACCATACCTCAAAAAGGGATAATGCCATCCAAAGTTTGTCCTAGCTCCAATTTCCACACTCACCTCCAGCATGTCTGCATGCATACGAACTAGTCTTTGCAGGCGCACCCTCTTTCCTGTCCTGGTGTTATAAATGTATTGAGATTTCTTCAGCATCCCCTGATAAACTCGAACATATGTCAGCTGCCCAAATTGGCCAGCCTGAAAATGGCACAAGTTAAAATGTGTTAAAAAGAGACATAAAGGTTACAAGAGTCAAAAGCTCCACCTTTTTATGCATGACATTTAAGACATACAAACAAAAGGTTGAATCACTAATCTCCATCTAAGGATGCCACCAAATTTTCACTTACTTTGTACAGTAACATTTTCCTCAGTAGGTTTGCAATAAACCACTGAGATAAAATATACTGCTTTAGTTCATACCAGACATGGAACAAAGGCTGTGTACAGACATACATTTCTACCAGAAGAAATTTCTTACAGTAGAAAAACAGCTGAGAAGTGAACGGTACAAATGTTCCTCCAGCCCCAGCTGGAGAACTTCCCTGCCTGGGAAGGGGGCAGGCTATCAAGCAGCAGTTGGCAACTACTGAAAAGCAGCTGCTGCTATAGGCAGCCAGGAACAGTTCCAGCCCCTGGAAGAATGCCCCCGCATCCTGTCAGTCAGCTGACTGGCAGGAAGCGGGTACATTCTCCCATGACAGGAACCCTCCTGGTTCTCTCACACAGGAGAATAGCTCCCACTCCTTGCACCGGACAAGTGCAGGGAGCAGAAGGGAGCACTCAGCTGCTGCAGCAACACTCTGGGAGTCCTTTGCCTCACACCCTGTGCTGTCCCAGGCTGAGCCAGAGCAGCACAGGGTGAAGCAGGGGCATTTTGCTGCAGTGACAAAGCTCCAAAGCCTTGCCGCCATCGCACAGCAGCTTGTCTCATGCAGCAAAGGGAAGCCAGAAGGGCTGGGAGCCAGGCTGGTGAAAGTCTCTGCACACCCAGCTCCCTGCCCCTCCAGCTTACTCTTGCCCCCTGCTACTCAGCTGAGCAGTAGGGGCAGCAATTTAGAAACTGGAGCAGCTGGGAGCCATGCACACAGAAGCTTTCCTGGTGCCGCATCCTTGGCCACCAACTTATAAAATTGCCATCCTGCTGCCCAGCAGGGGCAGCAAAGAGAAGCCAGTGGAAGTTGGCAAAGCCCCCTGCCTCTTCCTGAAACTGGGACTGTCTGGTTTGGGAATGAGGCAGGGAGAGGTGGCTGCTGCTGCCCTCACCTCTTGGTTTATGGGAGGGGCAGAGCAACTGACCTGAAACACCTTCTCAAGACCAGGATGACCCTGCCTTCTCAGGAATGCAGGGGGCCTTTACCCCTGGCTCCATGACTCCTGGTCCCCAGGAGGAGTTAAGCTTGTATAATGTATAGATGTTCAGTCTCCCAGGTTATTTTTCTTCCAGAGCAGCCATTTTTGATTTAAGAGAAAAGCAATTATCTCAGTAGAAGCTGAACATCTGTACCTGGCTAAAGATAACACTTTTCAACACAACAAGTAAAAATCAAGCTTCCCAAAATACAAAGGAATGCAAATATTGTAACTCTTCTAAATTCAGTCATGTTTTGATGCATTCATATACAGCAGAAGATATCAACAAAAGTTCTGAAGGAAAGTTACTGGCAGATTTTGTTACTACTGAATAGATCAAACAGTAAAAGTCTCCCAGTGATTAAATGATTCCAAGGCTTCAGAGAAGGCTATACAATTCTTTTTAACAGAACGATATAGAATTGTCTTGATTTGAAAATCAGTGTCCATAAACGGGATGACTCATTTTGACTGGACTCTTAATGGATCAAAGTTGATAACTGCTTTGTTTATTTCTATGAGAGCTCAATGTAGAGTGGAATTACAATTGGGCTATTATCAGTATCCTCTTCACAGTCATCACCACCTACTTCTCTGTCCCATCTTTCTTCTTGCTTTTCATCTACTAACTACTAGGGCTGTGCAAAATTTCGCTGGCTGTTTCATTTCGACACTGTTTTGACTCATTTCAAGGTCGAAACGTCAAAATCGAAACAAAACAAAACGAGGTTAGTTGAAACATTTTGACCACAGTGTTGGGGAAACAAACTCAGCCCAGCTGGGCTGACTTCCCATCCCCTGCGCTAGATGGGAATGAAACGGAACGCCGTTCCCTTGAACCGTCAAAACTCAAGGCAAAACAGAACAGTGCCATTTCTCACAGCCCTACTAACTACCATCTCTGGAAAAGTACAGCCATGCAAGTGAGAAGAATCAATGTCTGCACCTACAAGGTTACTTCTTTATGCTGGGTAATTTATCTTGGTCATGCTCATTTAAAACCCAACACCTAGGATTCAGTGTACACTGAATGCTAGAGATAAGTGCTTCTGCTAGCCAGCACAGGTGCTGTTCGACTCAGTGCCACATACTGTAATATGCAACTGCTGTGTGAAAAAAGTCTATCCCATGCAGAAAGAAAGAAGAATGGAGCCCTTTCAAATCTGGCTATAGTAGTTCCCTTGGTTGGATTTGCTCTGTTTTCTATGCCTAAGGAAAACAGGCACAGTATAGCAATACTGTGGTTAACACCACATGCTGTATTCAGCTCTCTAAGCCAGCCAGCAGGAATTGGATATTAGCAGCACAAAACATTCAGAAACAACTGAAGCAAGTCAGCTGGTTAAGGTACTCGGTATCTGTCCTGTGGAGATCTTTACTTCTGCCACATGATGCGCGTGCTGATGAAGTGATAAGTCCAGTGTATGCACAAACCTTTACACATTTACTGAAAAACTTTAAAACAGAAGTCTAATGTGTTTCATTCATAGAACCAGTAACAATTGCTGCAGAGGACACTTCCTGGGGATTAATTACCAATGGCCCAGTGCCAATAAGCCCTACTTAGCTCATTGATTATTTCAGGAAATGCCCTGTACTTTAACTGTTCTTGCTTAATTATGGAGAAAAAAATTAACCCACCTCCAGCTTGAAAGCCAGGCCTACAAAAGGCTGGGAGTCGTCTCTGACTGAGTTCAGCAACAGCTTTGTTTTGCTCTCAGAATCCCTTTTTTAAAGGAAAAAAAAAATGTAAAGAAAAGTAATGAGGCAGTGCACAACAGTTGCCCCTTTACTGCAAGCAACATTCCTACTAAAATTGTGCAGAGGCTAGAAGTTAGCTAGCATCTCACAGTAGACCCGATCCTCCTTGCTAGACGGGCCCTCTGGAAATTACTTCATACAACATAGAGATCAGAGATGTAGAGGTTTAATTGCCTAATGTTCAACTGATGTCAACCTGCTCTTTGCATCTTTTCTCTAACATTTCACTGCACAAAAATGGCTGGCTCAAGACTCCTTTGAATTTGAGTCAAGTGCCACTGTGTGAAATAAGCCATATTTCAAGTACTACAATACTAAATTCTTAGGCTTGAAAATTTGGCTCCTGTGTAGTCAATGAAAAATTCTCATTGAACTCAGTAGAGCCAGGACCTGACCCCCCGATCCTCAGTGTGTGCGCGTGCATGTGCGTGCAAGGGGGGGAAGGGGAAGGAAGAAGATAGACGGGGGTTAAGCCCAGAACAACGAAACCAGGAATTCCTGAGTACCAATTCCAGCTCTTACGTCAAATTCTTCCATGACTGTGGGCAATTTGCTTATATGTCCAAATTAGAGAATAGAAATGGCACATTCTACTGCCTCTTGGAAGTATTATGAAGATTAGCTAATGCTGCTGAACTGCAGTTATGTTACACAAAAGCACTTTATATGAAAGACGGGAAAGAGCATTTCTCTGTAGCTAGAGATGCTCACCACACACACACACACTCTCTCTCTCTTCTTTTTGCCCACCCAGCAGAAGAGAATTCTGGTAACTATTAGCAAAGAATCATTCAGAAGAACAAAAAGGGGAAGTAACCTTACTTACTGCTCACAGGTCACCGAATCTAGTTGTCAGTACCAAGAAATAAGAGAGAAAGGGAACAGCCTGGCTATTATACCACATACCACCATCCAGGGAATCTCACCTGATGGTCTACAAAATCTGGTATCATCAGTATTAAAAAGTATTGCAGTCTGGATTCAGTAAAGGTAAGGGGAACACACTGGAGCAATTCCTTTCACAGAATTGAGAAATAATACTGAAAGGCCATGTAAGAAGACTTAATACAACCTTTCTTATATAAATGGAGGGTCATGAGGGGCTGGAGGTTAAACAGGGAGGAAAGGAGTCAACTTAAAAATGTTGGCACTCAAGGAAAGAGTGTAAAACACATTTAGTGGTCCCACCTCTACCTCTTTGTGTTTTACACTGTAATTATCACTACAGTATTAGAGTACCTCAAATATAGCAAGAAAAACCTCAAGATAATCATTTAATCATTACTTGGATTTGTTTTTATGTAGATGCATCTGATTTTATATGTCCAAAAGTACTGTGAATTACTCTAATCACTACTTTATATAAAGAGAGATATAAACTGGCCCTCTGAATGTCTGGATTTTATTTTTTAAACTGCAAAAGCATGTTTAAACTTAGACTTGTTGCAATTAATCAGCTGTTTAAACATATTTTCAAAAGTGACCCCCTTCCTAGTCTAGACAGAGCCCGAGGTGCTGCCACCACTTTATCATACAAACAACCACAGGACCAGATCATTGTGTCATCACACCCTGACATAAGTCACATAATTCTTTAAAGTGACTGGGGAAACGTACTATTACTGCATATTGCTACCCACATTTCCTCCTCCATTTTATATCTATTTAAAATCTTAATCACGCAAATATTTTTTACCTCCATACATAAGTGTCCTCCTACCCTTGCTCCTTCTGTACTTACTCCTGATTGAGGATAGCATAATTCTGGACTTCAGATGGATTTGGGAGGTACTCTAAGACAGCATCCAGCAGTGGTTGCACTCCTTTGTTTTTCAGAGCACTTCCCACAAGCACAGGTGAAAAAGACTTTTTCAGTGTTGCTCTTCTGATTGCAAGCTAGAAAAACATGGATGTGTTATTTCAGCTCCCATAGTGACTTCAATGTTTTACATGTACAAGAAAGGCACTGCCTTCAACAAGAAGTTTAGACCGTTAGGACAAGGTGCGAGTTCCATAAAAAACAAAAAAAAATCATTCTGTAAAAAAGAAAGGATTAGACTGAAGGGATAAATGGAGGTGTCCATGCTACTGTGTATGAAGTGTCGCTATTGCAGAGTTGCTCAGTTTTCTTTTTTCTCACTTAACATTGGCTAGATTTCAAATGGACAATAAACCCATTATCTATGTTGATGCCTCAGCTGTTTAAAGAAGAAATCCCAAATATTTTCAGTTCACTAGCCCCAACAGAAGTGCCTGAAACAGGGAGAGCTTAGATATATTCTAACATTCTAATCAATCCCTTTTCAAAAGCCAACCTTAATTTCCATCAAAACTTCCACTGAGAGACTACTTCTAATAGATCTATCCTTAAATTTTTCCCTCTACATTCACTTTCCCAACACCATCCAAGTTCTCCTAAAAACCAAATACACTGCTCTAGATGAAGCTTTTCTCTATTTGAAATTTGATACTTGATTCATTTGCCTATTTGTAGATTTAAAATTTTCTTTGTTGATTAGCCAAACTGCAACTCAATTTGTTTACTCTCTCTCACAAGTTAAGCTCTCCAGCTAACTATGCTTGTCACTGTTCTTCTAAATTTCATTTTGGGATAAAGGTGCTCAGTACTGGTGTGAGGGAGTGAAGAGGCGGGCCGGATTGGAGACTTCCCGCCCCGGCGCAGCAGCGCTGAACTCACTCACATACGCCCGAAACGCTGGGCAACCCCTTACTATCTGCAGGTGCGGGGAAGTAGGCGTGGCTCGGGCAGCAAAGACCAGCGTAAGAGGGACGCCGGCGTCCGGAAGAAGGGAGGCGGAGCCGGGAGGAAGCCAGGCGGCTGCAGCGGCGAGAGGAAGCTGCGGCGAGCGAAGCGAAACTGTCCGGAGG